TTGCTTGCTTGCTGTTCTTTTTCTATTTGCAGGAGATGTTGAATTTAAAAAGTCAATTTTTAAGTCTTTCCTTTTGATGTGTTTGCTTATTGCTATAAATTGATCTCAAAGTACAGCTTTTGCTGTAGCCCAGAGATTTTGATAAGTTGTGTTTTCATTCTCATTTAAAAAACCTTTTTTCTTCTATTACACAATAGTGTTCAGGTATGATGCTATTTAGCTAGCAGGTACATGATTTTTCTTTTTATCCTCTTGTTCTTAATTTCTAATTTTATTACACTGTGGTTTGACAAAATACTTAGTTGCTGTTGTTGTTATGCACTATAGAGTCAGAACGAACCCATAGGTGTACCTATGAAGGGTTTTCAGAGGCAGATAATCATATGGGAGGGGAGAAGTATGTCAATATTTTTAATTTCTTGAGCCTTGCTTTTAATTTATTGAGACCTAGCATATAATCTACTCTGGAGAATATTAATATGCTCTGGAGAAGAATATATATTTAAACTTTCTTGGGGTGAATTCTCCTGTATACGCGTTCTCGTGGCTTAGTGGTAAGAAGTTGTGCTACAACCCCAAGGCACCAGTTCAATTCACCAGATGTTCTGGTGGAGAAGAATGGGCAATCTCTCAAGTAATTTACTGCCTCTGAAAACCTCCTGAAGAGTCAATTATGACTCAATGGCCAACAACAACAATAATCCTGTACAAGTCTATGAAGTGAAGTTGGTTAACTGTATTGTTTAGTTCTTCTGTATCTTTGTTGAGTTTCTTTCTAGTTGCCTATCTTTCATTAACAGTGGTGTACTGATGTCTCCTACTAGCACTATGAGCTCCGATGACCTAGTAGAAAGGAATTGCGCTGGGAACCTAAAGGTTGTGCTGTTGTTGTTAAGTACCATTAAGTCAACTACAATTCATAGCAATTCAATGAACAGTGCTTCTGAACCTTGCTGAGACAACTTCACCATTTCTGGTATACCTGACCCCATTGCCATAGTCACTATGTTAATTCATCTCACCTAGGGTCTTCCTCTCCTGTGCTGACCTCCTATAACTCCAAGTATGATGTCCTTCTCCAAGGACTGGCCCCTTCTGACAACATGCCTAAAGTATGTGAGATAGTTTCAAAATCCTTACTTCCAAAGAGCAATCAGGTTTCACTCTCTCCAAGACTGACATGTTTGTTCTCTTGACAGTCCATGGTATGTTCAATATTATTGCTTTTTCTCTTCTTTTTTTTTAATTATTTTTTATGTGTGTACTGTCAAATTGGATCTCACTGGTACAGGATATTGCCCCTCCTTCTCCAGCAGAGAATCTGATGGATTCAAACCATGTACCCTGGGATTGCAGTGCAGCTTCTTGCCCCTAGGCCACCAGAGCTCCCTTCAATATTATTCTTTTTTTTTCTTGTTTACATTCAAATTTATTGAGGCAAAAAAATACATCTACTACAGTGCACACATTTTAAATGCTAATTTCCATAAAATTTCACAAACATACACTTCTATGCATTCAAAGTCTTTAGCCTTTGTTTCCTTTACATTCTAGCTATAGAAAAGTTCCTTTGTTAAGGGGAATTCAATATTAGTCTTAAGCACCACAAGTCAAAAGGCTTGATTCTTCTGTCATCCTTATTCATTCAAATCTTATCTACAACAATGCAGGGCAGAACTGTACCACAGTTTCTAATGCTATAATCTTTATAGAAGTAATGCTGCCATATTTTTTTCCCATGGAGAGGCTAGTGGGATCAAACCACAAATCTCTAATAGCAGTCAAGCACTTTATACCGTTGCACCACCGGGGGTTCTTGTCCATTTGGTTTTGTGTTGATGCAATTAGATGCCATCAGGTCAGCTCTAACTCAGTAGCTTTATGTACAAGAGAATGAACTCTTACACAATCCTGTACCAACTGCTTTGCTGAGATTAAGGTTATTGTTGTAATCACTGTATCAATCCATCTCATTAAGGTCTTCTCATCTTTTTCAGAGACCTTTTACTTTTCCAAGTATGATGCTCTTCTGCAGTGACTGGTCCTTCCTAATAACATACTCTAAATATATAAGATCACGTGTCATCATGCTTTCCTTTAAGGAACATCCTGGCTGTGCTTCCTCCAGGGCAGATTTGTTTGTTCTTTCAGCAATAAATTATATATTCAATATTCTTCAACAGCAGCATCACAACTAAAAGGCATCAATTCTTTCTTTCTTTCTTTCTTTCTTTCTTTCTCTCTCTCTCTCTCTCTCTCTATCTTTCTTTCTTTTTTAAATTAGTTTTTTGTGTGTGTACCGTCAAACTGAATCTGACTGGTACAGGAGGAGATTGTTCCTCCTTCTCCAGCAAAGCATCTGGTGGATTCGAACCGTGAGCCTCTGGGATTACAGCACAGCTTCTTGCCACTAGGCCACCAGAGCTCGCTGGCATCAATTCCTTTATGGTATTCTTTATTCAGTGGCCAACTTAGACAGACAGACACACACACACATAAAAACCAACTGAAAAGATGATGACTTTAGTCAGGTCATCTAAGTCTTTAAAGTGGCATCCTTGCTCTTTATCCTTTTAAAGAGGTCCTTGGCAACAGATGTGCCCAATATGTCATTTGATTTCTTGGCTGCTGCTTCCATGGAAATGGACAGCTGATCCATGTAAAATGCACCACCAGCATCATTAATATTTTCTCCTTTATTACGATGTTGCCTATTGCTCCAGTTGTGAGGATTTTTGTTCACTTGATGTTGAGTAGTAATCCACACTGAAGCTAAAGTCATCACTAAGTGCTTCAAGCCATCCTGTCCTTTTGCAGCAAGTGTTTCAAGTTGTCTCCACTTTCTGCAAGCAAGGTTGTTGAGGAATGTTCCTCCAATTCTTTTTCATAAAGTCTAGTGGCATGAATAATGACTAAGGATAAGAGAAGAATTGATGCCACTGAGTTGTGCTACCGGAGGAAAGTCTTGAAAATACCATGCACAACCAAGAAACCATATAGGTCTGTCTTAGAGAAGGTGAAATCATCAAGTTTCTCCTTGGAGGCTATAACCTTCTGCCATCAAATTGGAACTCATGACTGATCCTCACACGGGACAAGACTATGAACCCTTCTCTTAGTGGACAGCTCGGAGATTCAGATCACATGCCTTTAGGACTATAGCACAGCTTCTTACCACTAGGTCATGAGAGCTCCCTAAAGAGATATTCACATACAGAGATAAGATACAACCCTGATGCATATCTTTCCTAACTTTAAACCAGTATTCCACTGTTCTGTTCAGACAAGTGTTTCTTGGTGGTCTTGGTTTTGAATGAGCACAATTAAGTGTTCCTGTTTTGCTCAACATTATCTACAATTTATTATGATCTAGGTAATTAAATACCTTTTCAAGAAAACACATGTAAACATCTTTCTGACACTCTCTTCATTAACCATTCTCAAAAACTCTGTTGTCTCAGAAGCAACTCTCCATTAAGATTCCAAGTCTATGAATCCACAAATGAGAAAACTGTCAGTATTTGTCCCACAGAGCCAAGGGTGGATTCAAATCACCAGAGAGGAATGGGTTAACAGCACAACTCAACTCCCTATAGAAGAGTTCACCAGAGCTATTAGGGAGATCCAAGTGCAAATCACAATAGGATACTATCAGCTTTGTATTTAATTTTTAAAAAAATAAATAAATATATATATAAAATAGAAAATCTAACCCCGTTACCTTTTGGTATAGTCACATTTGGGAGGGGAGTTTTGTTACAGTAATAAGTTTAAAACAGTGTGTATTAAACCTAATGAATCACTTATGAGATCTAAAAAGAACAGATTAGAAAGAAAAGCAAGCACAAAAATGGAAAGAGAGATGCCACACAGAGAACTGAAAGGAGCCCAGCAATTCCAAGAACAGCTCTAAAGAAATTCTGTTTTCCTGTCACTGCTCAGAGGTAGAGCTTTCTCTAGAATGAGTGTCCAGAATTTGGACTTCTAGTCTCAATCTGTTAGCCTCATGAGATTTCCAACAGCAACAGTAACAAACTGAAAAAAATCCCTTCTGCTCATTAAAGCCATCATTCCTGCTGCAGTAACATAAAGAAACAAGGACTCCATCTCACCTCCTTCAAAAAGCAAAGACTGATTAGAGAAATGAGGTAGAGATACAGATAACTAGGTGCTGGAGAGAATATGGTGAAAGTAGAGCCCTTATTAACTGCTAATGGTAATGTAACATAGAGCAGTGAGAAAGTTCCTCAAGGGCCAACCCAAGAATCTCAATCCCAAGTGTATCTAGGTAAAAGAAGTAAAAATGGGAACACAAATAGAAAATTGTTTATCAAGGTTCATTGCAGTGCTTTTCACAAGTGAAGAGATAAACTGTACCACAGAATACCACACAACCATCAAAGAAATGAAGTCCTGAGAGACAACAGGCATGATCCTGAAAGCAAGCTCAGTGAAAGAAGTCTGTCACAAAAGAGGGGAAAAAACAAATGGAAATCGGGGTGCTCTGGTGGCCTAGTGGCAAGAAGCTGCACTGCAATCCCAGAGGCAAATGGTTCAAATCCACCAGATGCTCTGCAGAGGAAGGAGGGACAATCTCCTCCTGTACCAGTCAGATAAGATTTGACTGTACACACAATCAATCAATCAATAAATGGAAATCAGTAAATTATTATACAAAAACCAAGATCTGGTGGCAGAATCCATAGGGAACCATGGAGCTGACCCAAGGGTATGCCTCTCAGGCAGTCTGACCCTTTAGAGGCAACCTCTTCCCATGATTTCTAGCCAAAGTACTTCAGTGGAAAGTCAGCTTAATAGCAAACCTCAATGAGTGAGGGATCATAAAAACCAGCCTGTTAATTTACAAAAACCAAAGCTTATAGAGGAAAGATTTCAATGAATTTATGTTAATGGTAGTAGATTAACTAGGAAAAAGACAAAGATAGAAAAAGATTTTTTTTCTTAAAGGAAGGAAGAAATAACTTGTAACAATTTGTAACCTTGGGGTGCTGAGATCCCATCAGAAATGTCTTGGCCCTGGAAGGATTTTGCAGTCTGAATATGCTCATCTTCTGTTCCTGCGACCTCACTTTTCAAAGACGACTCTCTCATAAGAGTATCTGCCACATGCTCAGTTTCCATATGGTTCTTATTCCTAGAGAGACAGAAATTTTTTTTTAATATATTCAAAGCAGTCGACTCTAAAAGCTTGCCACGATTCCTGCACTCCCACCACCAGGCTCTTCTTGCCTTCTGGCAAGAAGAGCCTCCCACGAGCCTGAGGAGGAGCCAGCCAAACCAGGAACAACATGGCCACTTCTTCCCAGCTGCCTTGGGCTTAAGGCCGCCTCCTGGTTCAAAACCTAGGCCCAGGCTGGCTAGCCTTCTCCAGGGACAGAGCACAGATTTTCATCTGTGGTCCTCGGCCAGGTTCAAATTGTCTTCCTGTTAAAGATTCTTCTAGGTGTATAGCACTGGTCTGTGCGTCGCTGTACAGAGGTAACTTGTGGTTGCTGTGATGCTGAAGCCTGTGACAGTAATGTGCCAGTCATGGTAATGGGCACCCATGGTGGACAGTGTTGGCTGGAGCTTCCCGACTAAATCAAGCCTGGAAGCAAGAGCGGCATCCACTTCTAAAATGGCTTGCCTCAGGAAACGCTATGTATGAACAGTGCTCAGGCTGTTTGTTCATAGAGTCGCTATGAGTCATCTATGACTCGACGGCATTAAACAACAACAACAACAACATATTCAAAGCACTTGTTATTGTTTGGGACCACTAAGTGAACTCACTAAACACAGTGTGAGAATGCAGAACAACTGCCTCCCAGGGTTTTCTAGATGATAAAGGTTAGAGCAGCAAATTACAGGTCTTTCTTTCTAGCCAACTGCTCTTATCACCAATGTTAACAATAATATATTAGTTACTTTGGGTAAACATATTTTAAAAATACTCATAAAGCACTTATGTATTTTCTTTCTCCCATGGAAAGAAATGTCTCTAGAACTGGGTGTAAGTCACAGCAAGTAACACCTGATCCTTTGAATCTGCTGGAACATTTGAAGCTGGTGAACACATCCATAAACATCAAAGAGAACAACACATTGCTACTCTGCCCTGCAAGTGAGAAAATGAAGTCTTCTCCTCTCCTAAATAGGTACCTCTAAGCCTATCATGTCTAGAGAAAGAGGTTGTTGTTGTTGTTTTTGTTATGTGCCGCCGAGTCGTTTTCAACTCATAGCGACCCTATGCACAACAGCCCTAAACCCTGCTCTATCCTGCGCCAACCACACTGCCTCTGACACACCCATCCCAATTACCCTAGTCACCGAATCAATCCATCTCACAGAGGGTCTTCATCTCCTGCGCTGTCCCTCCACCCTCCCAAGCATGATGTCCCTCTCCAAGGACCCGTCCCTCCTGGCAACATGTCCAAAGTATGTCAGACGAAGCCCCAGAATCCTTGCCTCCAAGGAGTAGCTTGGTTTAATCCTCTCCAAGATGAATCTGTTTGTTTTCCTGGCAGCCTATGGTACATTCAGTACTCTTCTCCAGCACCACAGCTCAAAAGCATCCACTCTCCTTCTCTGTCCTCCCTAGTCATTGTCCAACTCTCTGATGCATAACAAGCGATTGCAAATACCATGGCGTGCATAAGGCGCACCTTAGTCTCCAGAGAGACACCATTGCTCCTGAGTACTTTAGAGAGGTCCCTAATAGCAGACTTTCCCATCGCAATACGCTTTTTTATTTCCTGACTGCTGGTGCCAAGAGTGTTGACTGTGGAGCCGAGCAAACTGAAGCTGTGAACAATCTCAATCTCTTCGTCATCCATCCTGACGCTGCCAATTGGTCCAGTGGTGAGAATCTTTGTCTTCTTGACATTGAGCCTCAGTCCATACTGAAGGCTGCAGTCCTTGACCCTTCGCAGCAAGTGCATGAGGTCCTCCTCAGTTTCAGCAAGCAGGGTTGTGTCATCTGCATAACGCAGATTGTTAATAGATCTTCCACCAATCCTGATGGCACAATTCTCCTCATAGAGCCCAGCTTCTCGGATAATCTGCTCTGCATACATGTTGAAAAGGTAAGGAGACAGGATGTATTCCTGGTGTACAACCTTCCCAATTTTGAACCATGCAGTGTTACCCTGCTCTGTTCTGACTACTGCCTCTTGGTCCAAGTATAGGTTTCGCATTAGCACAATTAAATGTTCTGGGATTCCCATTCTTCTCAGAGTCAAAAATAAGATAAAAAAACCTAGTGTTTTTGCCAAAATTTTCTAAATTACTAAAGGCAATGTTTTGTTTTTGTATTCCTTACTTATATGTGAACGAAAATGTTTTTCCTTAAGACAATTTTCTGACCACACTACTGAAAAAGCTCTTGATATAAAGTCTGTAGTGGTTCACCAGAGCCATTTACCAGCAAGAGTGGATACAGAACGTCAGCAAAAAAATAACCTACCTTCAAACAACAAATTCATCATCTATCATAAGATCAAACTGAAAGGAAAGAAAATAAGCTTTTCTCTATCTTTCCTTCTAATAACACTTCTTTTTTTTATTTTATTATTTTTGTGCATGTATCGTCAAATCGGATCTGACTGGTACAGGAGGAGACTGTCCCTCCTCCAGCAGAGCGTCTGGTGGATTAGAACCATGCACCTCTGGGACTGCAGTGCAGCTACTTGCCACTAGGCCACCAGAGCTCGCTAACACTTCTAATAATTCTTTTTTTGTGCGTGTGTGTGAATTTTTTTATTTTATTTTATTATTTTTGTGTGAGTGTACCATCAAATCAGATCTGACTGGTACAGGAGGAGATTGTCCCTCCTTCCCCAGCAGAGCATCTGGTGGATTCGAACCGTGCGCCTCTGGGATTGTAGTTGCAGCTCCCTGCCACTAAGCCACCAGAACTTCCCTCACTTCTAATAATTCTAATAATTTCCTATTTCTGAATGTGTGCACCTTTTAATCTCAACTATAATCCACTTTCTAGTCTCTCCACCTCTTTATAGCCAGGCTGAAGTACAGGGAACACCACTAGTCGAAGTTACAAGCATAGAATGCTGTGTGTGCCACTGAGAAAAATCCAATTCACAGTGATGCTACTACACAGAGCACAATCATCCCACAGGATTTCCTAGGCTAGGATTCTTATGAGAACAGATTGCCAGATGGCTATTTCTGCACAGCAGCAAGTGGTTTCAAACAACTAATCTTCCAGTAAGTAGCAAAGCACTCATCCACTGGTTCACCAAGGATACACTCAAATGATGGGTAGATATAGACACGGGCCTCATTTTACTGACCTTCACTTTCCTGTGCTCCAAAGATACTGAGTTCTTTACAAAATGAAAGTGTGACAATCCTATGTCAAGTAATTCTAATGGTACCATTTTTTCCAACAGCTCACAACCCATCTGTGTGACATTTTAGGAATTTTCACACTGCTTCAAACTTTTCGATAATACTATTATACACTTAAAAGTTTCAGTATTATGTAACTTAAATGTGAACCAAAACATTAACGTTGACTTGTTTCAGCATAATACTCTTTCTATGGCAGTGGTTTGGAAGAAAACTTACAACAATCACAAAGTATGCCCGTATAGAAAAATTTCACCTCAGCGTGAACAAGGGCACAAAGAAATGAAAAGACTAAGAATGAGTGAAAAGGACACCAAAACAACTATGAGATATCATCTTACCCCAGTCAGAATAGCAAAATTTAACAGACTAGCAAGCAGCAAATATTGGTGAGATTGTGGAAAAACCGGAACCCTTATTCACTGTTGGTGGGAGTATAAAACGGTGCAACCACTGCGGAAGGAGGTATGGCGCTTTCTCAATAAGTAGCAACTAGAAATACCATTTGACCCAGCAATTCCACTACTGGGAATATAAACCAGAGAGACCATAACCACCACCCAAGCAGATACATTCACACTCATGTTTATCGTGGCTTTGTTCACAATAGCAAGGAGTTGAAAACTACCTAAGTGCCCATTAACAAACAAATGGATAGAGAAGCTGTGCTATATTCACATAATGGAATACTATGCTGCATTAAAAACCAA